GCAAAGTAGACGAAGAGTTTAAAGCAATCGATTGGATTTGGATTAGGGTAAAGCACAATAATGAATTTAAGGAAAATTGACGTGTATTCTTGTTAAAATTATAAAAAAAAAAAAAAAAAAAACCCTCCCATGCGACCAGCCTGTTTGGCCAGGATGTGAACTTGAATTGAACTACCAGTATACAGTAGTTTTCCCGCGTGGGCACTAATCGGTGAAGAAGTTCGAAGTAGAAAATGACAGATATATCCTCCCGATTCTTCGAGATTTTTCTTGACGTGTTTAAGGCTGTAGCATTTAATTTGTTTATAGCTGTTTGAATGTTGGGTAAATTGACTTGAGTTGTTCTGATATAAATAGAATTAGGAAATTTTGTTTGGCTGCTGGATATTTGAAATAACAGGTTTTAATCAAGCAAGAAAGTCTCTATTTACTTGAACCTTAACAGCCTAAGCTTTAATTTACTTTGTTAAGATTCTAGCTAAATTAACTTTACTTTGCTAGCTAGATCTTTACTTGAACTATGAGGCGACTATTCGCTGAGCTCAAACTGTGTCAATAACACGACGTACGAAGGGTGAAAAGACCCCTTTATTCAACTCAAGGAAGAATTTATAGTCGGCACTTCCGGTGCTTACAGCCAGTACGAGTCAGTTTTCCTTCAAAATTTCTTCACGAAGATGCCTTTCTAAAGCAGATAACCTTGGTATAATTTGCTTTTAAAGTTATACACCTAAGTGTTTATTAACTTTCAGTTTCCCATTATAGGCAGAACAGGAGTGATACAGGGAGCAGATTATTATTTCAGGTAGCAACTACCTAAAATGAGGGGAGAACAGGTCTTGATCTCCTGTTTTGTTTTTTAATTTCTTTTCAGTTAGTTATACACATGTTTTAGAAAAGAAAGAATTACTTACAATGTATAGCAGAGGGAAAGAAAAATATCTTAAAGGACTAAATCTCAGGAAAAAGAAGGTATTTCAATATTTTTAAAACATTCTTGATAAAAAAATACTTCAAGCTTTCAATACATCTTTCATTCGTAACTGTAGTATAATTAATAAAATCTGAATAGTTAAAGAGTTGCTTTTTTACATTCATCTGCTTGAGAAAGTAAACTGTAAAACCGTTTTTTTAACGAAATTTATCTTATTCAGAAAATATTACCTTAAGAGTAAAACCATTTGTAAACCATTTGCACGAATTAAGCTTCGCTTTCAGCATATCTAGATGTTAAATAGCTGAATATTTGCACACAATACTCTCTTTTCTTATAAAGGACGTTATTAGGTTCATTTGCGATAATGGACCTAGTAATGCATAATGTCGAGAAAAGTTACTTGACACTACAATAAACAGCTGCTACTAAATATTTCGCCAATTGAGGTTATGATACATACATATCAGGAAACTAGTTTTTGCCTGCCTTATACAATAGCTTAAACAACTGAGATAAACAACTCTGCTTGCCTCTAAATGAGAACTTACAGGCCACGTTTGAGGATATGAGGTCAAGTTCTTTCCAAAAGGGACTTCGTTAGCAAGTTGCTCGGTAAAATAGAATTAAAAAAATGCGATCATCTTATTTTATTACACAAGTAAATTTCTGGGAAAAAAATGCAATTAGGAAGATTTCCAGCTTCTGTATTTCATCAATTCTTTACAGAAAACTGAATTTTGTATTAACGTTTAACCTTGAGAAGTGTATACTTTAATGCTAAGTTTTATAAATGCGTTAAAATATGAAGTTCTTAGAAGTTTATCTTTTTTTGAACTCATCAAAGTAGAGTCGATGTATCACGTGTATTTTGATTTTCATAATGGGCCTAAAGTAAGAGTTTCAGAGCAACAGTCCGTTGTATCAGCAAAAGAAAGAGCAGAGTTTTGTTATAAATACGGAGTTAATATTTATAAATTTTGTAATGCATCGAAAATTATATTTTTCTTTTTGAGAATTTCGGGAGATTATTAAATAATTTCTCTTCACCGAAATAAATTAAAGTCATGAAATAATTACACTTTAATTTATTTTGATTAGATTTACCTAAGGCACGTTTAGTAATAAATAATATCTTTCTTGGTTTCTTTACCTTATAAAGACAAAAATAAAGTGTATATTATTAAGCGAAAATAGTTTTCATGCTCCTCCTTAAGTGTAACAGTATTATCCTAATTAACTTTAATTCGGAACACTATCAAATTCATTAATCAAAAAGAAACTACTTAAATCTAACTACAGTGTTCACATTTTAAACCTTAGCAGAACCTTAAATAAATAAATCAATGTTCTAAAGAATGATAAGTCACTTATTTCAGAAAGAATCTCAAAATGCCATATGCAGTAAAATTAACTGCGGTAGAACAGTTTTAGATATCTCATTTTTTTCGGATATTCATGGTAAAACTTGTTTCCATAAAAAGTAGAATATTTACATACATATTATTTTTCATATATTTTTGACCATAATTTTTCACATATTATTTTTGAACATTTTCACGTATTATTTTTGACAATAATGTGACTTTTGAATATTAATTTGAATAAAATAGACTTTGTAATTTCCATTAAAAATTTTTTATTTATTTAAATCTCATAAAATTATAGGGTATTTCTCCCTCCTTCTTAGCATGCCTTCGTGGTGTGGTGGTCTTCATGCGCATTCCAGAGGTCCGTGGTTCGATTCCCGGCGAAGATGTTGCTCATTTTTCATCTTTCATGCTTCCAAAAAATCCTAATGTCTCTACAAAAGTTAATATATTTCCATAATTGCAAAAAAGAAAAATTTTAATTTTGTGATACAAAAGGCGCTCTTCGACATTTCTTCTGCCAACTTAGATGTCAAAAAAGTGCGATTACTTCTAAAATAGTAAAAATTCAAAAATTCATTCTCCAAGAATTATTTTTATTTTTTGAAATGTTTAGTGCTTCCGTTTCCGATAGTAGAGAAATCCTCTAACAAAACATAAATTTTAATTGACAAAAAGTTATAAGGAATTCCCTCTTTCCTTAGCGCCTTACCAGTGACCAAGTGGTTAAAAGTGCTGTATATCGTAGTTCGTTCGGTCAAACTCACCAAAACAGGCGTGCTGTATGGCTGGTTTTGTAGCTTTCCCCGTGTGTGAGGCGAGTACGAGTCAGTTTCCCTTAGAAAATCCTCCAAGAAAGCATTCTCCTCTTAGGCAGTGAGCCATTGTGTACTTTGCCATATTTAAATAACCTAACCGCACCTAGCTTCCTTCCTTGACACGTGCTTTTGTGGTGTAGTTAGAACGGAAGTAGAGTTAGATGATCTGCTCCGAGACTGATTTAAAGAACCGATTCTCTTTAGTGAGTGAATTCATTCTATTTCAGTTAACGGAGTTATACACTGATGAAATAAATTAAGAGAATTTGCATATTTTATCGAATTGCATGAAAAAACTGAAGTGAAGGGAAAGCCACTGCTTCTAGATAAAAATGCAAATCTTGTACGGCAAATACGTAAGCGTACACGTGTGTGCAGGTGGAGCCAGCAGAAAAACAGGCTTTATAAGCGCGTGGAGGGTAAGACGAATTGCGTTCGCTCGCACACCTCGGCGAATTTCTTGGTGTTATCCTGCAGCAATCGGTTAAATTCGCATCGGAACATTAAAATTGAGCAAAGACCAAAGTTTTAGATGATGGACTGAAGTGGCGAATTGTGGGGAGGCTAGAGGCAGACCAATCGCAAGTTGAGATATACAGAGAGTTTAATTTAACGCCCAGCGTCGTGTGTAACCTATGGAAACAGTTCCAGGATACTGGATCCATCGAGAGAAAGCATGGGTAAGGTCGTCCAAGAGCCACGACGGCCAGAGAAGATCGCTATTTGTCCATTTTAGCGAGGCGTAACAGAGGGGCTACAGCTTCTCAGTTCCCTCGGGACCTGTATGCAGCCACAGGAACCCGTGTAACAAGGGTTACTGTTTCCAAAAGACTGAATGAGAGAGGGCCATAAGACCGGATGTTTGCGGACAGGAGAATCCGACTGGCATGTTGCAGGCAGCTTAGTGATTGGAGTACGGAGCAATGGGCAACCGTTCTGTTCACCAACGAGTCCTGTTTCAGCCTAAACACCGATTCTCGCCGTACTTTCATATGGAGAGAGCCAGGGACCCGCTACCTACCCTTCAATGTCCGCAAAATCAACAATTATGGCGGTGTAACGGTCTGGGCAGGCATTATGTTGGATGGCCGCACACCCCTCCACGTCTTTGACAGAGGCTCTGTGACTGGTGTGATGCATAGGGATGAGGTCTTGGAGCCCTATGTTTGCCTTTTTCGGGGTTCAGTGGACCCCGAGTTCATCTTATAGGACGATAACGGGAGGCCACATAGAGCTCTTCTGGTCCACGAATTTCTCGAGAGTGAGAATATTCGCCGAATGGATTGGGCACCCAGGTCTCGAGACCTCAACCCTATAGAGCATGTTTAGGACGCTTTGGTGGGGGCAACTCGCAAACCCCTCCGAGAACCATCCAGGAACTGAAAATGAGTGGGACCAATTGCCACAGACACTGATAAACTGCCTTATTTCCAGTATGACATTACACTCTGAGAGGCCTGTATGGCTGTAAGAGGGAACCATATCCCCTGTTGACCGATTTCTTTTGTGTCTTCTGCAACCACTGTTTCAGACCTTCAGACTCCCATGAGTGTTACACACGAACATGTGTGTCTATTATAACTGTTGAATGTTTATTTTGTTTGTATTTTATCAACCTATGTTAACACCAAATTTTATTAAAATTTGTCCAGTAGTTCTGGAGATCGTAGATTCAAATATGAAAATTCTCTTAATTTCTTACACTAGTGTAACTCTTTTACAATTCATTGAGAGCTTTTGTTGGAAGCGGGCCATGAATGCAGATCTGCTATTCGTTAACAAAGTGATTCACTTTACTAAGAGAACTTATGCCTGATTGGCGTAAAAAGGTCGGAGCTGTTCTCTATCGATAAATCCGCAGCATTAATTATTCCAAAGCCAGGCACCAACCCAACACGGAAACCCTGTATCAAGCTACAGCAAACCAATATCAAGATCGTTTCTGAGCTCAAATACCTCGGGATTATCTGGGATCGAGGCCTGACGTGGATCCCCCATCTTCAGTACATACGCAGCAAAACAAACGCATTAGCCAGAAAAGCCAAACTTTTCCTTGGAATCAACTGGGGTCAGAATCCTCATATCAACAAAATCCTGTACACAACCGTCATAGAACGCATCTGCTTGTATGCCGCAACAATCTGGGCAAATCCAATGCAGGGCAGAAAGCAAAAACAGCTACTCACTATCCAGCGTCCTTTCGCGCTTATGATATGCAAAGGTTTTCGAACCACTGCGACATCCGCAGCACTAACACTAGCCGGCATCCCTCCCCTTTATCACAGAGCCACGCAGGAAGCAGCGACCACCAGGATACTACAACTCAGACAAGATGCCACCTTTAATGGACACACCTTCAGCCCCACCTCCTACGAACACCTAAGGCATCACAGCAGACAACATCCAGGTGACAAAGGAAAAGGAGTCATCATCAGCATCCCAAAAGCTCCCTCTTCAAATATCACAAGCGCTCATCCTGTCTACTATACGGACGGCTCTAAGCAGGACGCAGGAGTCGGCAGCGCCTTCCTTCTTACCCACCATAATGAAGTCATCACAAGCTGGAAGGGCCATCTCCAACCACATAATAGCATCTTCCAAGCTGAGGCACTCGCCATCCTGAAGGCCATAGCACACGCTGCACGCTTCAACTACCGCTCACCCATAATCTGCACTGACAGCCAGTCAACACTACATGCCATAAAAAATCACAGACATACATCACCAATCATCAAAGACATTCAAAGTCTACTGCAGCAGCATCGCTTCCAACCCAGCAAGACTCATATGGGTGAAGGCCCATGTGGGCCTTGCTGGCAATGAAGCTGCAGATGCCCTAGCCAACGAGGCAGCCACCAACCATGAGGCCATAGAAGTGAACCTACCAGCTCCATCCTCCTACCTCAAGTCACAGCTCACACGAGCAACCATTACAGCCTGGCAACGCGACTGGGACAGCTGCGACACGGGGCGTCGCGCTCACATTTTTCTACCAAAAGTCTCAACTAGCCGACTCTGCTCCATACCGCCGCTTACCAGGTTTATAACAGGGCATGGGCCCTTTTCCCACGTACTACCACAGACATGGCATATCCACCACAGACATCTGCATATGCGGACAAGAAGGCAACCCTAACCACTACCTGTTCGCATGCCCTCTTACCTCGGCCATGCACCTTCCAGAGCCTACCACCGATCTCGATGCCTTTCTCCGTTTCACGGTTAAAAACCGTGCAGTGGTGAATAAAATTTGCCAAATGGTTAACTACCTAGCCACACAGGGTCAAGACGTCTGTCACCCGACTTAAAACGTCCATCGCCGTTCTTCACAGAAGTCCTCAACCGCAGTATACTGAGTGCCTGTGCTAACTGAGCTACGCTAATTGTGCTATAATCTGTGCAACAAACGTGCATAACGGACCTAGCGCATCATATGTTAAATATTTTTTTTTAAGCATGATATATGCCATGCATGTTTATATCCCTGTTTATTACATATGTGCACTATGTATAGTAATTTAAGTGTTGGGGTATAGTGTTTTGCATCTTAAGCGCATGCGTTTTGTCATCTGTGTATTTTGTTTTCAGCATTGCGTTATATGTGTTTATCACAGCATATTTATTTTATGTGTATGTCCAATGTGTATCGCACTATATGCATCTGTCACTGAATAAGTATTTGCCTCAATGGCAGCACTGAATGTACATTACTATTGCTTCTGTATTGCGCTCGTAATATACTCATGTCTCCGAATTATAACTTATGTGTCACGCATATCGTCTCCTGCATATCTGCATTTTGCTTCTTGTACCTTTTGTATATTTTGCGCATATGAGTACTGCACTACAGTATATGTATATGTAATTATTATTGTAAATTGCAAGATTGCAATAATTGCCAGACTGCAATTTATCGCCAGATTGAAATGTGCGCCTGTGTACGAAATAACCAAACTTTGGAAATTGCCATTTGATTTGTAATTATGCTATTGCAACAACACTGTGCGCGGAAAATGCTTATATTTGATTTTAATACGTAATGTGTACATTGTAATGTTTAATTATGTGTAATTATGTTTACTTGGGTGTTTTAATTATGTTGATGTAATGTTTAATTATGAGTATAATGAAATTTGCGTAATGTGTTTTAATGCGCAATGTATGTAACATGTTTATATCTCTGTTACTTATGTGCAATGGGTATAGTATTTTATGTGTCGGTGTATAGTGTTTTGTATATTAAGCACACGCGTTTTGCGCATCTGTGTATTGCGATTTGTATCAATTGAGCATGAGTCTTGCTTTACATATGCTTATCACAGCATATTGTATTTTATGTATGTCTAATACGTATCGCATCATATGTATACCCTGTACAAGTACTTGCCTCTATGGCGGCATTGCTCGTACACTACTATTGCTGCTGTACTGCGCGCGTAAATGCTAATGCATTAATTTATTACTTATGCGTCATGCATATCATTTCCTGCGTTTTGTACCTTTTGTATCTTTTGTGCTTATGAGTATTGCATTACATTTGCTTATTATTGCACTTTATATCATTGTATATTGCATTACTTCTATTGCACATCGTATTACCTCTATGGCTTCACTGATTGTACACTATTATTGCTACTGCACTGTGCGCGTAATATGCTAATATCTCCGATTATTACATATGTGTCCTGCGTAAAGTGTTCTGTGTATTTGTGTATTGCGTTATGTAAATTATATGCATATGAATTCTGCACTATATGTGATTATTACTGTATTACTGTATATTATATTACCTCCGCTGCATATTGCATTGCATCCTGTGTCCTACGTACTGCATCCCATGTATCTGTGTACTGCGTCTGGTATCAATTGTGCATATGAGTACAGCATAATATGTGTTTATTATTGTATATTGTATTACCTCTATTGCATATTGTATTACCTCTACAGCCACATTGATTGTACACTACTATCGTACACTACTAACTGCACTGCGCGCGTTAACATGCTAATATCTCAGATTATCACTCATGTGTCCTGCGTAATGTGTACTGTGTACATGTGCACTGCGTTACGTATCTTCTGAGCATGTGAGTATTGCATTATATGCGTTTATTATTGCATATTGTGTCACTGTACATTGTATTACCTCAATTGCATATTGTATTGTGTATTGTATTAAGTTTTAAGTTGTTTTTGTGTACCTTCTCAAGTGTCTTTAAGTGTTTAGGTGTCTACGTGTCTGAAGCGTCTTAGGTGTTTGAAAGTTATAGGTGTTTTTTAGTATTCATGTATTCTTTTTATTTATTTATTTATTTATTTGTGTGCACATTTCATGTGTGTTTATGCTCTGTTTAATGTACAAACAAGACTGTCCCACCCACAAATGTACATCAAATTTCAATGTAGCCCAATGTCGCCCTTGTATGGCCATGTTTAATCTGAATGGAACATCAATAAGCTCCAGGTGAGGCCTTGTGCGGCTCCAGGGAGTTGTTGCATCTGGTTAGTGGAAGGCGTGGGACATATGCCTGCTTACCCCTGTTAAACACCAGGCGTCCCCGTCCTCCGTCACCTGTCACCTGTTGTTGGATTTGTGTCAGAGAGCTCGATTTCTATTTTAGGGGAGAAAATAATTTTTATCCTCCCGTGTTAAAGGTGAGTTTAATTTTTATCAGTTCCCAACTTTTTGAAGAAATTGTTTTCTGAGTTCTGAGTAGAAAGAAAGTTTTAGGAAATTCCCAAAACTACTACTTGAACGAAATCAGTTTGATTGATTTAATTCGTCCGATCCCAATCTTCGTTTGATTCATTTTTCGCTCCAGCCTCGCTAATCGGTTCCAATACCATTGCTCGTTCAATTCCTTGCGCTCTTCGCTCCACCTGAGTAAATGCTCTTGATTCCTCCATCGTTCTGGATCTTTTTGATCAAAGTTATTAAGCGGTGAGTTATAAGAAAGAATCAATTCATTTTCAGTGAGCGAATGGCTCTGATCCCATTCCATTAAGGAACGGTTTTGCGCATCTCTAATCGAGACTTCCGGAGTTCAAATCTCGTCAAAGGGACTGCTGATATTCCTTATTTCCTGCTCCAAAATAAATCTAAGAATTCTATAGATCATGTTCAAAACAGAGTTTTCACAATTTTTTTCCGCTTACAGTTAGATATAAAAAGATCACTTGTGACAATACAAAATATGTATTAACTATTTAATAATAAGCAAATAAAAAGGAATTTATTTAAAAGAATGAATGTGGCATACTTCTGCGTTATTGATTCATCCATAGTTTACTCAAACGTTTCAATCAAGCAGAATTTCGGTTAAATGAATTTTGGTTAAAAGGAATTTTATCTTATCATTTGAAAACTCTAAATGCAGTAATTATAATAATACAAGCCAAATATTTTATTCCTAGATATCTTACCATATGTCTGGAGTATCCAGAGTTTAATTTTCATTACGGATTTAAATAAAACTTTTCCACGTTAAAGAGATACACTTCTTTAATTTCATATATTTCTACAGTTAAAATTTCGGTTATAATTGCCAATGCATGACATACCGAAACACACTACTTAATTGCTGCTCTTCTACAACTTGCAGAAACTTATATCCAAGACACCAACCTGGCGAATCATTATTCATTACTTTGCTTTCATCTCCACACTTTGGTATTCAGTAACTTACGCTTGAGAATGGCTCACGCGGAGATGACAAAATATATATTTTTTTTAATATTAGTTACCGAATACCAAACAGTGACATTTGTTTAAAACTAAAAACAACAAATATAATAGATGAAAGTACTTATTTTCAGTTACTCTCTTATTTAGGCAATTATTCATTCGGCAAATTTTAAGTGAAATAAGAGATTGAAAAAAGTCTCTTATTTCAGTTAAAATTTTTCACCGATGCTTCTCGAAGCTAAAAGAAGCACCACAGAAAGCAATTTGGAAAACATTGCTATACTGCGAATAATACCGAAATGCTGAAAAAGCAGCATGAAGAATTAATTCCTTTCCGTAAGTTACTTTATTTGCATTTAAGCATCAAAGAGAGTATGCTAATGCTGTTTTAATTTTTGATGCATAAAAGCTGCACTGGACTTCACTGACTATGTTGTCTTTTTCTCGTCTGCTATTGGAATTTCATCTTGTAAAGTCTAGCTCTTTTAAGGAGCATACACTATAAACTTTAAACAGACTATTGAAGAATTATCTTCTAGCCTTGTGAAACAAAGCAAAAGTCAGAAGAAGGGTGCATAAGACTCTTTTATTCGAACACAAACTTAACAATTACCTAGCATAAGTTTAAGCCAAGCACTTCTGGCTTAACAGAAAATACGTAACGATGAAAAAAATTCAAAATGTGATAGACTAGCCTAACGGCTCGCAGGATAATGTAACGCGCAGGCAAGGCTCTGGTTTGTAGGAAAACCGGCGAGACAAATGTTCAAATGGCTAGAAGCACTCAGCGCCACTAAATCAAGTCGCTAATAATCGCGGCACAACGTGACCTGGAATAGACACATATGCTCTAAAACTAACTTCCGAAACTCTTTCTCAAATAGCATTTCTTTCTACCTTAATCTGAATAAACGCTTGCTATCTCATTTACATCCTGTCATGAAAAGCGTGGTTAAAAAAAAGAGTAATAGGAAAGTAGTAAAATTTAAAATGAACTATTAGTTAAAAATAAATAGATAAACCTCACAATCTAATTATTTTAGGAAGTGCGTCAAAGTCATGCATGAATCACAAGCATGTCATACAGGGGTCACAACAAATCATAACAAAGAGTATTTGCCCGCAAGGAAATTTTCTG